AACCATGATAACGTCCAGACAAACTCAGTCCGTTCCCGCAGAGCATCCATGTGGCAACCATGATAACGTCCACACAAATCCGTCCTGTCCCGCAGAGCATCCATGTGGCAACCATGATAACGTCCAGACAAATCAGTCTGTTCCCACAGAGCATCCATGTGGCAACCATGGTAACGTCACGTCCGGTCCCACAGAGCATCCATGTGGCAACCATGATAACGTCCAGACAAACTCCGTCCGGTCCCACAGAGCATCCATGTGGCAACCATGACAACGTCCACACAAACTCTGTCCGGTCCCACAGAGCATCTCTTTAGCTCACAGCTATGCAGGCGCGTGCAATAATTCCCGGACTTCGCAGGACTCTTCTGCCCAAACACGTGCAATTTACAAAATCCAAGGATCTCCAATCATGTCAAAGGCGTGCCTGTCTCGCGAACGCGATGATGATGCGTTATAACTACAGCATACAGGGGCCCCAAAACCCTTTTCTAATTATTAAGGCCCCTACATCATACCCTTATAGAGCCCTTAATAACCCGTATGGTAGCCTTTTAAAAGGAACCCTATACTAATTATTAAAGGCCCCTACATCAGCCTTTTGGAGCAGGCTTGATCCAACAGCTATTCCCGTTTCTTGGCCAGGGAACTCCGCAACGACCTCTGCGAAATGTCGAATTGCTGTTGGGCGGCTAGTATAGGGGCCTGAATAAATACCTATACTATTTGGGGGGGTTCCTTATTCTAGTTAGAATTTAGTATGCCCCAAAACCCTATTCTAATTTATTAAGGCCCCTATGTTACGTTGTTTCAAGGCATTTTCAGTTTGCGGGTATACTACCCTAAGACCGTTTCATCCTAAGCCTGCAAAACTGCAATAGGTTTGCTGCGGCGTTCAGCCGTTTAGGGTCTCGGGAGGTTGTTGTTTTTTGTTGGGGGGGTGGCTTCGCACGAATTTTAAGGTACCTGGTGCTGACTGTCGGGATCTCTCCGGATGAGCAGGCAGAGGTGCACTTAAGGGCGGTTGCCTGGGGTTCGGGTCCTGCTTAAGGCTTTCCGATTGCCCAGAGACTCCCAAATTCCGGAAGTCAGGAGCACTCCTTCGCCAAGCCGTAAACAGGAGCAGATTCCTGCAATTGCCATAGGGATCCTTTGTCAAGCAGCCTTCCTTAAGGGATGTCAATGTCTTTGACGTTTTCCCTCAGAGACTGGTTCAGAGTAGGGTTTTGTGAGTTCAAGATTTCGGCTCTTCGAACGCAATACTTGACGTTTCAAGCAAACGGTAGAGATGAAATTTGTAAACACCTTTAGTCCTTCAAGTTGCAGTCCTTCTGAATATGGTTGGCTGACATGCACTTGACAAGTAAGCGGCCAGATCGCGGGATCTTTCGGATCTTTACGTACGCGAGACTCGCCGTAATATAGGGGCCTTAAGAAGTAGAATAGGGTTGTGAGGCCCATTATACTATACTCGTAAAAGGAACCCGCAAAATAGCATGGTAATTATTGAGGCCCCTATATTAACAGGAACCTGAGTCCTGATCTCCTTGAAGCTACTCTAGGAGTTGGACTGATGAGTGTTTCGAGACGTACAGCTCCAAGGACGTACTGAGACCCACAGCCCATTGTCCAAGCCGTCATATCACTTGCTTAGCCTTAGCTCCTTGATCAGTTGAGTGATTGGTTAAACAAACAGTTGTTCCGTGGACCTTGAACTATAACTAGCTGACTACCTGACTGGCTAACTGACTGACTAATTAGCTCGAGAGTGTGTATGGGGAAAAACCCCTAACCCCCTAACCCTCAGCCCCCAAACCGTCTACTCCAAAGGCCAAAACCTTCAAGCATGGATTGAGGAGACGATGCGACCCAAAACCCAAAACCCAAAACCCTAAACTCTAAGCCCTAAACCCTAAACTCAAAACCCTGAACCCTAAACCCGAAACCGCCTGGGATCTTTCCGGCAGGCCCTTACCTGCCTGCAGCCGTCGCCTTGCCGATTTTGGCTGAGGCGGTGCCTGGAGAGCAAGGCGCGCGGGGTTAAGGGTTTAGGGTTTAGGGTGTCTGTCGGGTTTTATGGGTTTCGTGGGCTTCCGGAGCGGCTCAGTTGCTTTCATGTTGAGAGTTCCCTTAAGGTTTCCAACGGGTTTGAGTGTTAAGCAGATCGTAGGGTTCGGGATTTGAGAGTCTGTGGGGCTTTAGTTGATTGCTCTCGTTTGTTTGTAAGGCTTTCTATGGTTTAGTCGCCTGCTTTGACTAGAGTTGCTCTCCGTTGATTTCCATCAGGTGGCTTGAGGTTTGTCCGGCCTTGTATCGGAGCGCTGCCACTTCCACGAAGGACGCAAGGAAAGGTGGAAAGGTTCAGGACTCCACTTCTGGTTGCAGTCGGACTCTGAGAATGCGGTGTCTTGCATTTTCAGGTGTATTTATTAGTTCAACCCTTTGCACTCAGGCCTCTACGTTTTGAAAACCTGAACCCGAAGCCTCAAACCGGCAGACCCTGACAAACCCAACTTCTGGAACCTTAGACTCGTACATTCCCAAATTCCCAAAGCCCTCCGCATCCGAAAGCCCGGGCCGTACCAAGGCCTTGAACTAAACCAACTCAACTTGTGGGGCTTCGTGTTAATGGCATCCGGCTTTGTTGTGTGGCTTTTAGTGTGGTTTTCAGGGGCCCGTTGTCATCGCATCACCGCAAGATCTCAATTTTAAGTTCTATTCGTTGTAGTCGCGGCACGGAGCCCCTTACAAATTCTGACGTATCATAACCCTATGCCTTACTAATTAGAATAGGGTTTTGGCGCCCATTATGCTATACTCATAATAAGGAACTCCCACAATAGTTTGGGTAATGATTTAGGCCCCTACATTAAGCAGGAAGGGCTAATCTTCTCCATCTTTAGCCCCGAAGCCCAAACCCACAACCGTTGACCCTAAACCTCCCCCCCACCAAAACCTTCCACCGGTGCCCATGGGGTTTAGGGTTTAGGGTTTAGGGTTTAGGGTTTAGAACCTCATGCTATCGCGGGTTTAGGGTTAAGGGTTTATCGTTTAGGGTTTAGGAATCCTTTCGGTAATCCCTATAGCAGCCCTTATACGAAGCAAGGAGGGCGAACCGAGCCCGCGCCCTGAGAGCCCCCTCCAAAGGTTGGTTGCCACGAGCCACTCGGCGGCTTCCTGGACCCGCGTTTAGGCTGCGGCCTCCCTTTGGAGGCGCGAGGTTTCCTTTAAGGGTTACTTCAAGC